AGGTAAAGCTTTTCTGAAACCCTCACCTTGTATGAAAAAACAACCTTCAGTGGTTCTCCTCTCAGTGTGTGGGTTCCAGCGCTTCTTTGTTTAAAACATTCATGTTTTCAAGCACATCTTGGAAGATAAACAGGATGAATGAGAGTCCTGTGCTCAGTCTCTGCAGTCTCTGTCGCCGTGAACACCTTGGATGCATTTGTCAGAATCACAGAGGCAGACTCCCGCCTCTGCTGGAACTAACACTGACATGAGCAAAAGAGCACGGCACTGAATTTCAGCCACGTAACCTTTCCCGCTCTGCTTGCAGGGAGGAAAATTTGACATCATCGCACTGATCGTGTACATCGGCTCCACCCTCTCCTACTTTGGTTTGGTAAGGCTTTCTCTTGCCCATGCTTTATGAAAACGCTTTGGCAAAAAGAAATTTCACTAACACGGCATTTGTCGGGGTTCTTCCCAGGCCACTGTATTCATTGACTTCCTCATCAACACTTGCTCGAATACATCCTGTCAATCCTATTGCAAGTGCTGTGAATGCTGCGCGGTCAATGAGTATTACTACAAGAAGAAGTGCGAGTCCATTGTGGAGCCAAAGTCGGTAAGGCTCACTGTGTCTACAGATGCCAAAACACTGGGGTGTCCATTAGCTCACTGAGAAATGTGCAAAAATAAGGCCAAAACCACAGGTGTGATCCCAGGGTGGACAAGCCTCTGGACGCCACCCCAATCCACCATTTCTCAGATGAAGCCTTTCCTCTTAGGGAAGGATAGAAACAAAAACAGAGAGGAAAGAGAAGGAGAAGAAATTTTTACGTTCTGGAACCTATCAATTTTATCAGACTTATTAAATGGGCACAGCCAAAAACAATCATGTAATGACTTCGGGGAACAATCTGGCAGTGTATAATGACATTTAAATGGGACATACTGCACAGCCTGGCATTCCCACTTCTCCACACGTGCCCTAGAGACACACTTACATGATCACACAGGGAGTATAGTGTACAGGTATGTGTCCACTGCAGCACAAGTCACTGAAGAAAATGCTTCTATCCAAATGTCCAATCCGTGAACAGTGCATGAACTAGGTTAAATACATAGCAACGAATGTCGGGCGCTCGTTTAAAAGAATGACGTAGATAAAAATAATAGCCAACACTTATATAGCACTTCAATGTGCTTTATATATATTAACTCACTGAGTCCGCACAACAACCTCATAGATAGATGACACTATTATCCCATTCTACAGATGAGGAAATTGAGGCATAGGAGGGTTACATAATTTGCCCAGTCATATAGCTAGTAGGTGGTAGAGCCGAAATTCCAACTTAGGCAGGCTAGTTCCAGAACCCATGTTCACAACCACTATGTTTTAGGTACTTTCAAATATCCAATACATTTTGTTGAGAGGTAAAAAGCAAACTACAGAACGATACATTTGGTATGATATAGGATAAAAAACTACATACATAAACTAAACTAATTCTATGTATTTTATACATGTACAGATATGCACAAACACATACACATATATTCTATATATTTGTCTATATTTTATATAGTTCTACATGTATTAACACACACCTCTATATGTGGGGGGTTATATATAAAAATACAAAAAGGCATTGGACATACAAAAACGGATAACGAGCCCTAACCGGTTTGGCTCAGTGGATAGAGCGTTGGCCTATGGACTCAAGGGTCCCAGATTCGATTCCGATCAAGGGCATGTACCTTGGTTGCGTACACATCCCCAGTGGGGAGTGTGCAGGAGGCAGCTGATCGATGTTTCTCTCTCATCGATGTTTCTAACTCTCTATCCCTCTCCCTTACTCTCTGTAAAAAATCAATAAAATATATTTTTTTAAAAAAATAAAAGGGATAACAATCCCTTCTGGAAAGAAGCCTGGGATGGGGGACTAGTCAAAGGGAACTTTAGCTCATCTGTATTGTTTTGGTTGTTTCATTTGGACTTTACTAAGCAGGTCCTCTACACTTGACTTCATGATTTCCTCCCAACCAATAAGAAATCTCTGGAACTTTAAAACATCAGAGGGTTTCTTTGTCTTTCCCTCATTTAAGGACATCCCAGTCCTGTTCCGGCAGCTGAATGCTCAATTCACTGTCCACTGTACATGCATATACAATTTGAAATAAAAATTCATCACTGCAACTAAAAGTAATCACTATTGCCCAGCTGGCGTGGCTCAGTGGCTGAGCGTCAACCTATGAACCAGGAGGTGACGGTCAGGGCATATGCCTGGATTGCAGGCTCGATCCCCAGTGTGGGGCATGCAGGAGGCATCCAATCGATGGTTCTCTTTCATCATTGATGTTTTTTTCTCTCTCCTTCTCCCTTCCTCTTTGAAATCAATTTTATAAATATACTAGAGGCCCAGTACACAAAATTTGTGCACAGGTAGAATCCCTAGGCCTGGCCAGCAATCAGGGCTGATCTGTGGGGCAACTGTCAGGGCGATCAGGGGACCCCCACTGGCACCCGCCTTGGCCGGCCTGGTGCTGCCCACTCGCCACCCCCCCCAACCCCCGCCACCAGTCACCTCCCTCTACAGGACAACAGGCAGGGCAATCAGGGGGCCTCCACTGGCACCCACCTTGGCTGGCCTGCAGGCTGGGGGCAGCTCCTGTGTTGAGTGTCTGCCCCCTGGTGGTCAGTGCACGTTATAGAGACCCATCATTCTGCCATTCAGTCAATTTGCAAATCAAGCTTTTATTATATAAGATATAGATATAATCACTAATGGCCCAGATGGAATGAAACTTAATGGAAATATAAATAATTTAAGTTGCAAAAGTATAATTTTCTGAGGATAGTCAATCTAGAGTAGCCTAAATTCAGGAAATATAACAAAGAAATTTTACATAGTGCTTGGGGGCCTATAAACATTAGGCAATACGTTGTGGACACTCTAAGTCCACAAATTAAGGTGTATGGGGTTCCAGTTTGGATTCACCTTTAGACTCAGAAATCATTCATTCTTGGTTAGCAAGAGTTTTTGGTTAACTTGTTTAAAAGTTTGCCATTTGCTAAATGGGAATAATATTTGCTTCAGATAAGTCCAGGTTTGCAGTTCTTAAGTAATTCTATACGAAAAAAGAAGTAATTTTTTTTTAAACTTTCTTTCCCTAGACATTAAAATATGTGTCCTTTGTGGATGAATTCCACATTAGGATGGTGGAAGAGCAGCTACTTGGGAGAAGTCTGCAAGATGTCAAAGGCAAAGAAATCCCAGTAAGTTAAAACATTTAGTCTTCTCTCTCTCTCTCTTTTTTTAAAGAAAACTTACTACTAAATATAAACACATCTAGAAATTTGTACAGATCATACTTGAGGAATTTTAACAAAGTAAACACAAACACATGCAACCAGCACACAGATGAAAAAAGTGAATATCACTTGCAGAAGTCCCATTAATGTCTCTACCCTATCACTACCCACCCTTATTCCAACGGTTAGTTTTACCTCTTCTAGAATTAAAAATTTTTTTTTTACTTTTCAATTACAGTTGACATTCAATATTATATTAGTTTCAGGTGGTTACCTCTTCCAGAATTTTATAAAATTTGAATCCTATAGCATATATTCTATTGAGCGCCTGGCTTCTTTTACTGAACATTATTTTTATGAGAGTCATCCATGACGTTGCATATAGCAATAGTTCATTCTCATTGTTGTATAATTTCTATTTTATAAACATCCAGTTTATTTACCCTTTCTCTTGCTGATGGATAAATTTGAGTAGTTTCCCTTTGGGGTTCATGCCAATGATGTTCCTATGGTAAATATATGGCACCTGAACATATGGCATACATTCAGCTTTAGGAGTTACTACCAGACACTTCTCTAAGTGGGTGTTCTAATTCACCCTCTCCTTAGAAGTTCAGGCTGTTGGACATCTTCACTAATGTATTAGTTTTCTACGGCTGCTGTAATAAATTACCACAAACTAAGTAGCATAAACAACGACAGAATGGCCTGTATCAAAGTTCTGGAGGTTAAAATGTCTGAAACCAGGGTGTGCTGCTGTGAACATTCATGTACGAGAACTTATTCACTTTTAAGGTACTTGACTCAGACTTTGTCTGGTGAATGAAGGTATATGTCCCAAAGAGTAGACATTTATAAATGATGGCAATGATGACGATTTCTCTTGAAGCACAACAAAGGGATTTGCCAGTAGAGGGAGCCTGGTGGAAAAGGAGAGGAGCTCAGTCAACAAATATTTACTGACTACTGTGTGCTGGGTACTGGCCTAGGCATTGGGGATATGACAATAAACAAAACAGACAGGGACCCCACTTTCATGCAGAAGAATCATCAAGTAAACATAGTAATTAAAAAGATCCTTTCAGTGGCAATAAGTACTAGGATGGAGAATCTCATGGTGCAATACTAGTAAGAGAATGACCTGGGAGGGGCATTACCTAGATTGGGTGGTCAGGCTCTTTTTGGAGAGGTGATAATTGCACTGAGGCCTGGCTATTCTGAATTTCACTTTCTAAATCTGTGCAATGGAGATAAGGACACAACTCATGAGATTCTTCGAAAGCTTAAATGAGGCCATGCTCGTAAAAGACTATCACAGTCCTGATACATACATTTAACACACGGTACTGATGTAATATTACATGTAATTTTGTGATTTAATAATGAAATTAAAGAACCCAGAACTCTAGGGGTTGTCATTGCTGATAGGTTTGGAAACTTGACTTTTCCAGAGACCATTAATGGACTTCACAGACTTGTCCAGGCTGCCCCTGTCTCTCCAAGATGCACCCCCCATTCCTGGGCAACCAGAGGAAATCCAGCTGCTTAGTGAGGAGGCAACAACCAGATCCAGCAGCAGCCCGAGCTGGTGCCAGTGCGGAAATTGCCTCCCATCCCAACTGCCCAGGAGTCACCAATGCCTGGAGGAGCTGTGCTGTCGGAAAAAGCCAGGTGTCTGCATCACGACCTCAGAGCCATTCAAGCAGCTCATCCTGTCCAGACGTGCCCTGCAGTTCCTCCTGCTCTACCAGGAGCCCTTGCTGAAGCTGGATGCGGATGCCACCAACAACCAGCTGCGGCACTGCGCCTACAGGTGCTATGCCACCTGGCGCTTCGGCTCCAAGGACCTGGCTGACTTTGCGATCCTGCCCAGCTGTTGCCGCTGGAGAATCCGGAAAGAGTTTCCCAAGAGTGAAGGCCAGTACAGTGGCTTCAAGAGTCCTTACTGATGGAACAGAGCAGTCATAGGCAAATTACTTCTGCTTGCACCCCGAGCTTCAGCAGCCAAGATCTGTGGCCAGATTTCCTCCGCTGCCACTCTGCATGTGTCAGAGAGCAGAGAGACCCGGGTAAACAAACAAACCAGCCAGAATCCCTCAACATGGACTGAGAGTCGAGAGATTCAGACGTCTGTCTCAATTTTGCCCCTGGGAAGCTGTGTGATCTAAGCCCTTTAACCTCTGTACCTCAATTGCCTTACGATTCAACCTACTCTCTTACAGAGATATTGGGAGGAAAATTGAGACAGTGTATACAAGCTTTCTTGTTAATGCACAGAGAGCTATATGAATACAAAGCAACTCATTATAAGGTCAGACTAGGATAATGTCCAACTATGAACAAACTCTTTGGGTCTTGAGTCCTGGTTGGAGAACGTGAAGGATTCAAAGTGGCTACAAATTCCTTGGCCTTTGTCTCTCAGGACCTGAAGGTTATGTCTCCTCCCCTTGCGCAGCTCTGATTGCTTATCCAATAGTGGAAGTGATGCTGGGTCAGTTTCAAGGTCTTGGTCTTAGGAGGCTGGCAACTTCCACTCCCTGTCCCTTGACACTTGCTGTGCAGGAAGCCAGACCTCAGGTAAAAGTCTGACTATCCTGAGACAGCCCTGCTGTGAGGAAGCCCAAGCAACCATGTGGAGAGCAGAGATGACCGACCAGTCCCAGCTTTCAAATCATATAAGCCCAGTCACTAGGCATGGGAGAGAAGACTTTAGACCCTTCCAGAGCCTGCTAACACATGTCTGCAACTGCATGAGACACCCCAAGTGAGAGCTGACCCATGAATGCACAGAACAAAATTGTTTTAAGCCACTAAGTTTTGGGTTCTTTGTTCTATAGCAGCAGATAACTGGGACAAGAGAGCAAGCTGGACTCTTGGGGACATAGACTCAGCCCATACCTTCCCTGGTCCTAAAGGTCTCAGGGAGCCTAGACCACCTCTGGAGCCCCTTAGGGGCCTAGGTTCCCATTCAGCAGTTCTAGGAGGGCTGCAGATGGAATCAGGTAACTCACCAGCCCAGCCCTGGAATCCATCCAATTTAACTGCCACGATGCCCAATACATTTCAATTGCATTACATTTCTACGACTGGAAATAACCACTGCTGTTAAGAACTGGAAAAGGCCGACTTTAAGCTTTTAACGTCTTGCGCTTTGCAGCCAATTAAAGCAGATGCAGTCTGGATGCTACTCAAAAAGCAACCTATACCCAAACCTTTATCATACCCATACATCAGCCTCTAAAAATATGCAAATGGACAGTCCCAGGTTCTAGGATCCTCCTGCAGGATTTCCTTTTCATGGTTTTGGCCCTAGAATCGACAATTTCTTATAAGTACCGCGCGCTAACCGATTGTGCCACTGGAGCTCCTAGAATCGACTATTTCTAAACAACTATTGTGAAGAATAAATAGAGACCACTATTCAATACTGTGACTAATGAAGGACCTGTCAGGTTTTTTATACATACTCTAAGATTTACCATTTTTAATACTTTTTAAAAAAACAGCAGCTTTCTTTTGTGATCCAGGATTTTATCTGGCTTTCAACTCAGGAATCAAGCTCATTAGGCCAGATTGCACTGTCATTTTTGCAACCTTTCCAGTATATTTTTTAAAAGTAGATTATATATATATATGACTTCTTCAGAATGGAGATTCTTACTCCAGAATTCTGTTAACAGCTACAGATTTCCATTCTGATGGCCTCTGAGTCTTTATGCCTTTATTTTTGGGGGCCTGATTCCTGATGAGTTTCTGTCACCTTGTGGAGGCCCCAGATAGAGGCAGAATTTAGGGTGACAGATAATCACTGGATCCACCTACTGTTCTCCTTCCCTTTCCCCACATATGCTTAAAGTGAGAGGGTGATGTGTGACGTCAACAGTGTGTAAAATGTCTGACACTTCCTACAAAGACATGGATCATGTTTGAATTTTTATGTTTAGGCTCCTACATAAAATAATGTCATCGCCAAAGGCACACCAAGGAGAATCACATTTTGTAGAACCTGTCTTCTTGTACTTCAATCCATTCTTCTGTTAATGGTAACTGCACAATACTCACTGATTCATCTCTATATCAGAGATGTGCTTCCTTGTAACACTGATTTCATGCAGAATAGGTAATGAACTTGCATTTATCTCCTTAGAGGAAACCATTTTTAAAACACTTCCTAATTCTAGCTTGGCAATGTAGCTGTCATAACCTGACTATTTTGATAATAAAAAATAATGTATAATTCATGATTATTGAAGTGTTTCTTTTCCTTCCTTTTCTCAGAATATCACCAATCACAGTTAGCCTGTTCACTGACACATTCATTTGATATATATATAGATATATATGTATAAGTATACATATATTCATTAAGGCACTGTGACATAAGATATATATTTGGTCTGTGCCCC